ATGAATCTTTTAAACTCAGTTCTTCTCCTCAAAATGAAATATGTTCTATGGTAACAACCCAATTCCTACTATGTAATATGTAGAAATCATTTTCACTTTGTGAAGAAAACTAGATTTAAATGCTAAAATATTATCTTTTTGTCTTCCTGAAAAAATTTTCTTCCTTTGGTGGTAAAAAGCTTTTAAAATTAATGGAAAATTGTCCCCTTCCTGTGCTCTGGCTTGGGAGGAGAGCGAGATATCAGATCTCAGTTTCTCTGTAAGTATCATAATGACTGCCTTCCCGGTGTTAGAGGTTTGAACTGCTATGATGGCGTGTATTTTAAAGCAAAGTGGTGGTCAATTTTGATGAAAAGTGATAAAATCGAGTGGATAAAATTGGCTTTCAGCAATTAGAATGCTCTGCACCTGTAACTTTGTGCCCATGGCCCTTACATATGTAGGGGGAAGAAAGAAATTTCCTACAATTTTTTTTGACACATCAGAATTATAACAATTTGTTTTTCATATAGCACTTCACATTTCTTGATCATTCCTAGGCCAGCAGACTTTTTTTCTATAAAGGGATAAATAGTAAAATCTTTCGGTGTTGTGGGCCATGTGATCCCCTGCCATCGAAGCGGTGAAACAGCCCAAGACAATCTGTAAACATGGTTGAGTGCCAATAAAACTTTATTTACCAAAACAGGCAGGGGGCCAGCAGGTCACATTGTGCCAATCCCTAATGCAGGTACTTCTCCTACTTAATGATGGTGGTGATGCTGATAGGGATGATTATGCCATTAGTGTCAGCTGCTGTTTTGAGTGCCTGTCATGGGGCAGACAGTAGATATATTTACTGCTCATAAATACTTTAATGAAGGGTAAACATGGGTAATGAAGGGTAAACATGGCTATCACCACTTAACAAAGGACAAAAGTGAGGCCCAGCGAGGTCAGGTGACTTGCTCTATGCCAGGGTTCTCAACCCCAACACTATTGACATTTTGGGCCACAGAATCCTTTGTCATGGGGGCCGTCCTGTGTGTAGTAGGATGTTTCATGGCACGCCTGGCTGCTGCCCACTGTATGCTGGTGGCACCCCCTTCCCCCCAACTGTGATAATCACAAATGTCTCCAGATGTGGCCACATGTCTCTGGGGTCAAAATCCCTGCTGGTTGAGAACCACTCCTCTAGGACATACCACTTTTTTTCCCCTGCTATGGAGGGAAGACAGGGTTAGGGGTCGGAGGCTGGAGACAAAGGCAGACGGCACCAGCAGCGGCACTGGGGTGGAGGCCACAGCATCCGTTGGGGCCTGGGTTTCACCGCCACACACGGGGCAGTGTGTGGTGAGCTGAGGCCCTGGAGGCTCTGGGCATTGAATCTCGCCTGCAGCCATGGCCAAAGCCTGGGAGTGATTTTCAACCAATGCCAGTAGGATGTACCACTTCTCAGTGTCAAAATCTGGGCTGGAAAAATGGTCTGTATGATTTTTTTTTGTTGTTTATTGGTTTTGTTTTGTTCTACACAGAAATAATGACCTCCCCCAAGCCAAAGCTCTTTTCCTTGATGTGTGTATTCACTGCTCTCCTCCTCTGCATCCCTGGCTTCCTTCCCTTATCCTGGTCTTTCCTACTTGAAACTTGCTAAGAGAAATCTGAGGTGTCCTCAGCACCCCCTGTTGTGTGATAAAGATCACAGAGTTAAAAAATGATAACTGTGGGTGTTGATGGATGTGTTCATTTGATTGCATTAGTCATTACACAGTGTACACATACCTCATCTCTTTGTATATCTCGAATGTATTCAATTTTTATTTGTCAATCGTACCTCAGTAAAGCTGGGGGAAAATGTGAGCTGTGGAATATCGTTGACTGGCTTCCAAGTCTGGCTCCACCTGTGTTTCACTGAACAACTGTGGAAATCTTCCCAACTTTGCTGAACCTTACTTTTCACCTCCAGAAAGTGGAATAATAAGAGCACTTATGGGCCAGGTGGCTCATGTCTGTAGTCCCAGCGCTTTAGGAGGCCCAGGTGGGCAGATCACTTGAGACCAGGAGTTCAAGACCAGCCTGGCCAACATGGCAAAAGCCTGTCTCTACTAAAAATACAAAAAAACAGCTTGGTGTGATGGTGCACGTGTGTGATCCTGGCTACTTGGGAGGCTGAGGCAGGAGAATTGCTTGAACCCAGGAATTGGAGGTTGCAGTGAACCATGATTGTGCCACTGCACTCCAGCCTGGGCTACAGAGCGAGACTCTGTTTCAGAAAGAAAAGAAATAATAGTACTTCTGTCATGGCATAATTGATGTGGAATGATGAATTCAAAGTGAACGCTCAGTGAATAACTGGTAACATGATGATGACAGTGACAATAATGATAACACAGATAAGTTCCTTAGACTCCTCGTCCCCTGGGTGGTTTTCTGCATGTTTATTACCTTCTTCAAGGTTTCATACTTTGCAGAATCTTGAACAAGCCTGTGCAGATTATACCTTTCCTTGCAATGAACAAGTCTATGATCATGAGAAAGTTATTAACCTCTCTGAGCCTCAGTTTTCTCATCTGTAAAATGAGAATGGTAATAGTTCCTACCTCCTAGTGTTACTGTGAAGAATAAGTTAACATGCATCTAACATTTAGAAGAATTTCTGGCCCTTGGTAAGGGCAATATATATGCATGTTGTGTGTTTCTAGATTTTCCTGACAATTAGAAGAGATGGAAAATATTCTCTTACTTTTCTCTCTAGAATAGACCAGGCATCCTCTGCTGCCTCCCATGTCTGGGAGGACCCTTGCTGCCTCTCACCGGCCAAGGATGGTTGGGTGTGGATGTCCCCAAGGGCCCAGGGGTGACGATGTGGGTATAGTGACAACAGTCACAGTTGCTTTCACATGTGGCATGATTCCCATGTGCCTGGCGATATTTCCTGTTGTTAGCTACATTAACCTCATCATAATGCAATGAGGAAGCCAGGGGAACCAAGGCTTTGATTATTTTATTTATCTATTTACATAATAATGAGTTGGTTCCTTTCTCTCCTCCAGAGAGGACCAATGAGTCTTTAAAAAAAAAAAAAAATAGGGCCAGGCATGGTGGCTCACACCTATAATCCCAGCACTTTGAGAGGTCGAGGTGGGTGAACCACTTGAGGTCAGAAGTTCAAGACTAACCTGGCCAATATGGCGAGACCCAGTCTCTACTAAAAATACAAAAGTTAGCTAGGTATGGTGGCACATGCCTGTAGTCCCAGCTACAGGCATGAAGGCTGAGGCAGAAGAATCGCTGGAACCTGGGAGGTGGAGCTTGCAGTGAGCCAAGATCATGCTACTACACTTCAGTCTGGGTGACAGAGCAAGAATCTGTCTCAAAAAAAAAAAAAAAAAAAAAAAAAAGCATTACAAATTTACGTATTTAAACCTATTTGATGTTTTCCAGTTCATCATAGTAATTTTTTTTGTGATATTCAAGTTGTCCTATCTTCTGCCCATGGACGGTGTTTAGTTTGATTCCTGAATCCTCAGGAGTAGTTTTTGCCATCACACTGGACATCAAAGCAAGGAAGCCGAGGTGTTCTAGGCCCTTCTTGTACTTCATGCCCCAGACTTGGAAACACCTGTTCCTCCAGGGGTTCCTGGCTTCTTGACTGGGAAAAGGGATTTAATTTTTTTTTTTTTCTTTGAGACGGAGTCTCACTCTGTTGTCCAGGCAGGAGTGCAGTGACACGATCTTGGCTCACTGCAAGCTCCGCCTCCCGGGTTCACGCCATTCTCCCGCCTGAGCCTCCCGAGTAGCTGGGACTACAGGCGCCCACCACCTTGCCTGGCTAATTTTTCGTATTTTTTAGTAGAGACGGGGTTTCACCGTGTTAGCCAGGATGGTCTCGATCTCCTGACCTCGTGATCCTCCCATCTTGGCATCCCACAGTGCTGGGATGACAGGGTGAGCCCCCGCGCCCGGCGGGAAAAGGTGTTTGTACAGCATCATCTAGTTGGTGGGGCTTGTTGCTGCTGGGTTGGTTATCGTTTCTAGGCCTTTTCAGTGTTCAGAGCTAGAAAATCTTTCCCTTTCTTCTTCCCCACCTGCCTCTTCCCTCCCTTTCCCCTACCCCATCCCTTCTTTTTTAGTAGACTATATATTATGATCCATATAGATATTTCTAATTCAAATTTTGAATTAAGGATTTTTTTTTTCTTTTACTTACCTACCTTGATTTAATATTTGTATCCCTTTTCTTACACTAGAAATATCTTAATGGCATAAGTAAAATTTCTTTTTTTTTTTTTTTTTTTTTGAGATGGAGTCTTGCTCTGTCACCCAGGCTGGGGTGCAGTGGCGCCATCTTGGCTCACTGAAACCTCCACCTCCCTGGTTTAAGCGATTCTCGTGTCTCAGCCTCCTGAGTAGCTGGGACCACAGGTGCATGCTACCACGCCTGGCTAATGTTTTGTATTTTAAGTAGAGGCAGGGCTTTACCATGTTGGCCAGGCTGGTCTTGAACTCCTGACCTCAGGTGATCTGCCTGCCTTGGCCTCCCAAAGTGCTGAGGTTACACGTGTGAGCCACTGCAACTGGCTGGGATAAATACAATTGCTTATGAGGTTTTGCTAATCTGGTAGCTGAGTAATGTGATCTCCATGTAGTTTTAGTTTGCATTTCTCTAACATGAATGAAAAGAACCCTTTCTTGCCTCCCATCTTCCACCACTTTTTCCAACCAAGGCAGAGTTGATCACGTTTTCTTTCATGTACCCATGATGCCTTGGAGACAGTGCTCTGATAGCATCGATCATCAGTGATCAGCTTGGTGGTTTCTCGAAGCTGTATATTTTACTCTGTGTATTTTACTCTCTTTTTATCTTCCACTGTTTGGCATTGTGTTTTACCTTAGTGTTTATGAACGACTTAATAGTTTTGACAGTTTTTACTAGATCTGTTAACCTCAATCCCTTTTTAATTCCTATGTAACTGCTTTTCCCCAGCAGAGCAGCTAAAAAAAGAATGAGAGAGAGAATAGCAACACAAGAAAAACAAGCTGTTGAGAAAAAACAGATGTATGCTTGTAATGCTGACTTCTCTTTGAGTTCCAGACACACGTTGCTCCAGCGGCCTTCATGACATCTCCGTGGATTGTCTGAAGCAGGGTTTCCCAAACTCGGTCTTGATGACATGGACTGCGTAGCTCTTTGCTGTGGGAGGCTGTCCCGTGCATTGCAGTGTGTTTAGTGACATCTCCCCACTAGCCTTACCTACTGGTGACATCTCCCTATCCCAGTTGTGATAACCAAAAATGTCTCTCGACATTCCCTACTCTGCCCTTGGAAGCAAAAATACCCTCCTTTGAGGACCACTGGTTTAAAGGCGTCTCACACCGAATGAGGCCAGTGCAGAACTCGGTTTTTCCTCCTGACTTGCTCGTCTGCGGTTTTCTCCATCTTCCTAAATGGCACCACGTTCCATTCAGCTAGCTAATCAAGTTAAACAGCCTGAGTCATCCTTGATTTCTCTCTTTCCCTCACTGTCTACATCTAGTCACTCAATGAGTTATATAGTTCCTTCTAAAATATCTCATAAAGCCAGCCATTGCTTTCTATCTGCGTTACTACCGCGAGTCTAACCTGCCATTTTCTCTTGCCGGGAGTACTACGTGTCGACTCCTTCCTGGACTCTGGAAGCTGATTCCAAATCCGCAGACACTCTGGTGTGCACCCACATCTCCTGCCTCACCTGTCAGCACACTCTTCATTCTACTCTCCAGCCCCGTCAGCCTGCCTCTAGGAAGGGCCAGGGTCACTTCGCCCTCCAGGCCCATGTGTTTCCCGTATTCCCTCTCCCCCAAATCTCCAGATGGTTGGCTTCTTGTCCTCCTGGTCTCCATTCAGTGTCACCGCGTCAGTGAGACCTTCCCTGGCAGTCCAGTCTGACCCGACTGTGCCTTCCATCTGGCTAATCCATCGTATTGCCCAGTTTTATTTTCTTGATTGAAATATCAGGATCCCCAGTCTTCTAGTTGACATCCCCAGTCTTCTAGTTTACATCGTGTTGGCTCTTTATGGTCCATCTCCCCTCTAGAATGTAACTTCCAGGAAGGTAGAGATCAAGCTTACCTTGCTTCCCTTTGAATCCTGACTCGGAGGATGGACTCTGCATAAGACAGGCACTAAGAGACTGCGGCGTGAACATTCTAGTGTTTATCTGAGAGGACTCTAGTCATGATTTCCCTTGCCCTATGGACAGAGAAAGAAAGATTTTAGTCCTTCTCAGAGTCGAAGCTCTTTTACAGGCATCATCCCGAATAACACTCGATAGTCACACTATCACTTTCCTCCTTACCTAACATTGCGGCTGCTGGTCATCCTCCCTTGTACCATGTTTAAAGAATATTGATCCTGAAGCTAAATTTCAATTATATACAAAAGAAAGATAATTTACTTAGAATCTGGTTCTGTCTCAATTCACAATGCAGGAAATGAACCAGTGCCTATGGTCCTTTCTGTATTGGAATCTAGAATGTGTGTGTGACCCAGTGATGTAACACAGAGATGGGAAAACCTCTTTTGTAAAGGGCCAGAGAGTGGACATGTTGGGATTTGTGGGTGGGGCATACATCATAATTCTTCAACGCCATCGAAGTGGTATGGAAACAGCTGAATGTAAGCAAATGGCCGCGGCCACGTTCCGTCAAACTTTGTGAAACTATTTCCAAAAAATAAAAATCACTTTCTACAGTTACAGCAGGCACACTTTTATGTTGTTTGCACTGATGCGGTAATTTTCTGTTTATTGTTATCGATTGTGTTATCTACTGTCTTAGTGTGTTCAGGCTATTTTAACAAAATACCATAAACCGAGAAGCTTAGAAACAACAGAAATGTATTTCTCGCAGTTCTGAAGGCCAAGGTCCAGGCAGCTGTGGGATCTGGTGAGGGCCCACTTTGGGGTTCATAGAGGGTACGTTCTTGCCACGTCCTCACATTGCGGACAGACAAGGGGTCTCTCTGGGGCCTTTTTTATAAGGGCACAAATCCCATTTGTGAGGGCTCTGCCCTCATGACCTAAGCGCCTCCCAAAGGTCCTGCTGTTCTAATACATTACCTTGGGGGTTAGAATCTCAATGTGCTTTTGAGGGAACACAAACATTCAGACAGTAGTTTCTCCTGTTCTGTCACTCTGGAAACTTCAGGCTACATAACACCTTTTATAAAAAGCCGTGGAGTGCCTTGGGGCCACATTGTTAGGGAGAATGCATTTTAAAAGAAATCTCACCAGTACATATTTTCTAAAAGCACTTCTAGTTTAAGAGGATCCATCTTAGCTCTTTAGAAACCTCTGGGCTTGTGTTAGTGAGGACAAGCCCAAGCTCGTCACCATTCAGTTTTGTTTTAAAGATAATTTTCAAGAAACGATGTTTATAAACACCTGCCAAAAGGTCATGTGATCTGTCAACGTGGGACTATTTTGTTCTTGAAACAAGCTAGATAAAAGGCAGAAACAAATGCAGCCTGAACCATTTTACTGCTCATAGAATCTTCTTTTGCAATTTACCATGAAGCTGACCGCCTGTTGCAGGCTATAGGCTGGCAGCCGATAGAGGTATGGAGTTGGTCCACATAGTTGCTTTTGTTTTTTTAAAAAACTTTTAATTATTTTGACTAGTATTAAAATACAGATGAATTTTAGCCCCACCCTAGTGAAACACTTGCCCAGGAGCACCGGGAGAAACACACACAGCCGTGTTCACAGCATCGCTCGCAACGACAAAGCATTCCACACAACTTAGATATCCATCGATAGGAGAGTAGATTTTCACAAAGTGTGTTACAGCATAGAAATCAACAGAGCTACGAAAATGGATGAACCTCAGCTGTGCACATCGGTTCGGATGGATCTCATGAAAATTATGTGGCTCGAAGAAAGTGAGTTACAGCCAGACACATTCATAAGAAGGTGAGAAAAATGTAGAATGGAACAGGAGGTAGGTTAAGAATTCACACTTACGGGAAGCTATACGGAAAGGCAAGGGCATGGTAACCATAAAAATTAGGGTTGTGATCATGGGAGAGGGCCAGCGTTGGAGAGAGGTTCTCAAAAGTTCCAGAAGTTCTGTACCTTAAGATGGTACACAGGTAATATGTCTTGTTGGTTCCTCATTTCCTATACGTAGATATGTGTTAGTTATTCTCTTCCATGCTTGAAATGTTTTGTAATTTAAAAAATTAGATTTTCTGGAAGCATTGGGCCGATTATTTCCACATAGCAGCGGTTGGCTGGGCGGAGTCACAGCTGAGTCCTTGAGAATGACGTGCACCTTCGGTTTATCATAGTACTTAGTTGTACTCTCCCTCCTGTTCCCCTGGCTCAGCCTGTCTTGCCCGTTTTCAGTGGCATTTGAGATTTGCATGTCTGGCCCTGGGACATTAGGGGATACAGCCTGTTGAAAATCGTCATGGTGTTTTCTATTATCACATTGGTAAGGCAGTTGTTGCCTATGCATATCATCTGTAATAGGAATGATTTGTACATGAGACAAATTTTTCCCAGGCGTAAGTAGCAGGAATGATTCCCTTAACCAAGTAGCAGATCTTTTGGATGCTGTGAATTCTGTCACTGTTTTTTCTTTTTTTTTTTTTTTGGTCTTGACTTCTAACAAGCTTGGCGGAACTGTGAGCTCATCTTTAGCGAAAGTGGAGACCTTATGGCATGTGGTTTTGGTTTTAATCTTACTGTTGGCTTTTTTGTTGTTGTTTGAGACAGAGTCTCACTCTGTCTCCCAGGCTGGAGCGCAATGGAGAGATCTCGGCTCACTTTAACTTCTGCCTCCCAGGTTCAAGTGATTCTCCTGCCTTAGTCTCCTGAGTAGCTGGGACTACAGGCGCACACCACCATGCCCGGCTAGCTTTTAGCAGAGACGGGGTTTCACCAGTTGGCCACGCTGGCGTTGAACTCCTGACCTCAAGTGATCCACCTGCCTTGGCCTCCCAAAGTGCTGGGATTACAGGCGTGAGCCACTGCACCTGGTCAGCTTCACTTATTTTCTTGTTTCTCCTCCTATTTTATTTCCTCACTTAAGAATATTACTCCATAATTCACTTGTTTATGTAAGTGACTTTTTTTTTTTTAAAAAAAGAGAGGATATGAACTATAAACTCTCATTTACCTAGCATGATGGCAGAATATGATTTTGTGAGAACATTCTGGAAAGCTGGGCTTTATCCAGAACGTTTTATTCACAAAGCTGCCTTGATCATCTATTTCAGCTGTGCGTGTTACTAATTTTCCAAGAATGAGAATATAATTAAAATACACTTAATGCTAAAATGCAACTGAACATAATTTGATCTTCGATAATTTAGAAGGCAGTTAAAGAGCGTGCCGTGCCTCAAGGCCATAATTAGGAACATCAATTATCATAGTGTGACACTATAAAAATCTGGTTATTTCAGCTTTCTGATGATTTGAAATCTGTGGGAACTAGAATTTGAAGTCTGTGCATGCAGTCTGTGTATATATAGGTCTTTTGAGCCCCTCATATGAGCAGTCCATACATGGTTTCATAGCTGATGACTGTGAGAAAGGAGAGGCCACCTGACAAGTCTTAGCAGAGATGTGACAAGGTTAGACTCGGGTGTTGCGAAGATCCTCCCGGCCGCAGAGTGGTGTCAGGACTGGAGCAGGGCAAGGCTAGGGCAGTAGTCCCTGTCCAAGGTGACAGGGACCCAAGAGCACAGCGCTGAGGGCCTCAAGGCCTAGACATTTGAGCTACCAGTGTCTGTGACACTGGCAGGTCCCTTCACTTTTCTGGGCACACTTGACCATCTCAGAAGGAGCAAGAGTGTGGAGCCATAGGCCAGAGGAAAAATCAGTGGTCCTGAGCCTATCCTCCTGCCTGGTTTAAAATTTTACTATTTTGTTCTCCACAGATTTATTTTTTTTGGCATTAATTTTGGTATTTCAAAGCATTGCATGGAAATATTATTTATTACGATTACTGAGCTTTTTGCCACCTCCTCAAGTTTTGCAGCTGGATACCTGGGCCTTGCCTACCCAGACTCTGAAAACTTCTGAATGGTGCCATTCCTAGTTACAATTTTTAATTATAATTCTCTGGGCTTTGAACAGGGAAAGACCGTGTTTCCACTTAGAATTTGGTCAAAGCCTTTGTCCATTTCTGTACGTCAAGGTGGAGTACCGACGAACTGTAACCTGTTCCGATTTAAAACAGACATTTAATTCCTTTTGCTGTTTGATGAAATAGAAGCTTTGGCTGGAGAATTAGCGTATTACAGAGCCTTTGAAATCTTTGTCCTTTCCTGGCCGGGGCTGAGCATGTAAATGCCTTTGAATGCGTGTTTCGCTGCCTTTGTAACTACATTCCCTCCAGCGGAAATTGAAGGCAACTTCCCAGTTTAATGATGATTGCACTGAGTTAGGCCCCTGCTGATGACAGTGCTCCTGCTGCAGCGGCGTGGCCTTTGGGGATAATATTCAATATTGCTTCCCTAGCACTTTGGAAATTCTTCAGAAAAGTTACTAGGGACCCGAGTGCAAACGGCAGCCTTGTCAGCCGAGCTGTCCTATGTAACTCACTGGTGGCCAGCCCCTAGTTTGGGCAGAATCTTTGTCTTTGGGGGAGGTGGGTAGAGTGGCTGCTCTTCAAAGGTTTACCGTAAGAGAGGGCTTCGGTGATCGCAGGAACACAGCTTCAGGGCTGCCTGCACCCCTCGCGCAGGGGAAGGGTATGAGGGAAGCAGAGTCACCCTTTGGAGGGATCCGGAGTAGATGCTCAGTATGGGCCTTACAAGGGAGAAGAGTTCCCTGAATCAGAGCCCCTTCCTCTGAACCTCCGTTTCCCTCTGACACAGTTTGTGAACAGGATATTTTATTTTAGCGGTGGATTTCAGAATAGTGCTCTGTCAACTGTAATGGCTTTGATATAGAAAGAGTTGCATTGAAATTCTGTGTACTCTTAACCACTCTGGGTCTACATTTTCCCCTCGCTCACATGGCATGGTGATGCCAACTGCATATGGTCACGAGGATGAATGGTTTTACATGAAGATGCCTAGCCGAGGGAGGGTGTGGAATAGATGGCGAGTCAGGTTGTTAAGGCCACAGAAAGAACTGTGTCCTCCAGTATCAAACGAGGAATGCAGTTCCTGTCATTAAATGAGGTGATGTCACTAACATCATGAGGACAGTGCCAGGCACGTGAATTCTCACATTTGTGAATGTTGAATGGGGTGTGGATGCCTTCATGCAGGGCTGGTCTGGGTACGTTTTTTTCCCCCACTTTATTCCATGTCTGGCACAGAGTTGGGAAGCTTAATAGGTGTCAAACATCTGCCTGTTGAGCGCCTAGGCGAAGAAGAGGGGAGAAGTTGTCAGTGGTAGAAGGTAGAGGCCACGTAGGGTCATGAGTGGTGTTGGATCTGCCGGAGCCTGGAATGGCTTGGAGAATCTGTCTTGAGGCCTGCCTGTCTGCACAGTGGTCAAGGCCCAGATGCCTTTTGCCAGGCTCAGCCTTGGCTGGTAGGCACCAACGTAGCTGT